TGGCTGCACTGGGATTTTTCATGCATAATAAATAAAGCAACAGACTAGCAGATTCAAGCTCCTTGCTGAACACCAGTGCCCTCCACTGTGTATGCTGAAGATTCCTCCAAATACTACAGCAACAGAGAGAATTTATGATTTTTCTCTTCATGACAGACTGCTGAGTCCCCCGGGACCAAATGTCAGACACATGACTACATCTGCCGGCTTCGTGGGGCTGCCGCGAACATCTAAATAATACTGTCAGCATAACGCAGAGATCCGTCCATCAGCCTGCACAGCCTCCTCTCCCCATTGGTGCTCACTCTGCCATAGAAATATATCTTTCATAATCTGTTACAGTACTTTCCCGGCTGATGCTTTATACAATAATTCAGTTGGAATCGTGGAACTTTACTAAGAGATTGTAACTTGTTAATTAAGAGGTAGTGGCTCCCACGTAGGAACCCTTCAGCTTCCTTATTACAAAATGTGGAACCAAAGTGTTTGGGATGCCATTAACACCACTACCACCTCAGGATGTGTATCACCAGCTCCCTAAGTTTTGATCACTTTGATCACGTTTGTTTTTCGGCTCATAATTGCCATGTCCTACCAGCATAAGAATATAAAAAACAAATTTTAACAGATCACAAAAAAACAACCCTTTTGCTGCCTCTCTAGCACTATTGCACACTTCAATTCAGACCATTTGAAGCATGACCTGCCATTTGAGCGAAGGGATATTTTATCCTAATTTCCTCTACAAAGGCTACTTCCATTAAATTTATTATTGCTGTTTACTCTCTAGCTGGATGAATTCCAGCTTCAGAAGGATACAAATGCCCGTGTCATGATACTTACAGCTGCAATTGCACATGAGCCACAGAGAAGACAGAATCTTGAAGCTTGTTCTAAAATACAGCAAACAAAAAAGGCAGTGGGAGACAAAACTAACCCTCTTCTGGTAGGGTCTATGATTTAGCAGAAATGTTGAGAAGTGATTTTAAAAATGTTTCATGATAATGCTGTTGCATTGAACACTCTGAAATGGTGCTTAATGTGATCAGTCAGGACCCTGTCTCCTCATATGTCACTTGTGCTTCCAAGTGAAAAAAAAATTCATGATTGGCTGGCCACCTTGGCATTTGGGGTTGGTTAACTAACATTAATTAATGGTGCCCTCTCCCCTACCATTAGTCATGTGAAAAGCAGTGCTAAGTAGGTAACCTAAAAAGAAAAAAAAGCTGAAGAAGGCAGAGACAAGTATCAAATGAGTAACTGCACAACAAAAATAATCACAAAGCCCCCAGTTTCTTCCTGTGAACACTCATGCATCACCATCACCCGCACTGGCAGTGCCTTGATGGTGTGGGATGCTACACAGAGGTACCCAAGACTGGATTTGTTGACTACCTCACTGAAGGACATCTTAAATTCTCCATGTAAGAAATTAACATAGCTCTGAGAAGTCAGAATTCACCACACTGACTATGAAAGTGCAAGGAAAAGCCATTTGTGCTATCTGAAGTAATCACGTGTCTGAACACTTCACATTTTCTGGTATGGTGTTTTGAAGAGGGTAAACTTGAAATATCCTCATCTCTCTCTTCCAAACACACAAATTCCCCTTTGAAGGCTGCTTTAAAGCTGGACTTCAACTGAAACTAATTAGCTTTTAAAACTGTTTCTAAAACAGCCACTTTTCCCTACACATCCTCTAGTACCTTTTGTTTAGAAGATTTTTATTGGTTTATACAGGTTGAGAAAAGTACTAAAAGCAAGAGCAAAGGAGATATTATGCATTACCAAGGTTTTGGGGAGCCAGACTACAGAATTGTCATCCTTGTAATGATTTTTTTTATTTAACTACTTCAAAGAAGCTTGAATAAAATTTCAGTATTTCATTTTAATAAAAACAAGACGTTTGCATTTGGAGGTTCTTCAAGGCATTCTGTCTCGTGCCCTGTGGTTGAAGCATAGTCAAGGCATTGTTGCATTTTATTGCATCTCTACTTCTGCATAGTTAGTACTGCTTGATTATTTAAGTTGTAGCATTACATGAGCTGCATGTGGTATGCTAAGTGTTCTCTTTTACAAAAAAGGAGGGTCAAAGAACCTTCTCCATAAGTACCATTTTTAAACACATGCGTTTTACGGTAACAATCAAACCTCCTTACTTTTTCACTGTTGAAAACACTATAGACTCACAAACCTGGAAAAGCTCAACTTCGTCACAGTGATTTAGTTTCACTGTATGCTGCAGGCATTCAAAGATTCTGTCTTAGTATCATGAAGTTCAGCTCTAACATTGCAGTACCATATTCAGGTAGAAAAGCCACCTTTGACATGCTCAGTAAATGCACACACAGTTTTCAGTGCTGGAAAATGCTTTTCTGGCATGTTATACAACTTTTATTAAATAAATTTCCTTCTCTTTCAGTCAAAAATAGGCTGGCTCCCATGATGGTTACTCCTTGATTGAGGTGAAAAGTGCAAGGTCTTTTCTTATGAGGCCAGGACTTTTGTTCTCAAGTGAAAAGTCAAGCAAACATGAAAAGATATTACAATACTTAAAAATTTGAGAATTAATATCACAGGACAACTCCAAACCAAAACAAAAATTTGTTTTTGCCAGGGGCTAGAATTGAAGATGTTTACATTGTTTCATGTACTAATATCAACTTTTAACTCACTGAGTTTAAAAAAGTAGGCAAATTTTGAGACAATCCTTATCTCATTATCCTTTCTACCAAACATTTACCTCATGATCACATTAAAACTGAAATTCTACTAATTTTGCCACAAAAAAAAAAGGGAGTAAGGGCCATCACAGTGAAGAGAACAGACAAATTTTGCGCTGAATTCATTAGAAGAAAGCAAGAAAAGAGAATTCAAATAACTGAACCATACAAATGGATGCAGACTATATAAAGTAACATGACAGAACCTAACTGCTTGCTAGCCCTACAAATCAAACAGCTTGTATCCCCGGCAAGATGATTGGAACACTACTTCAGCATTTGTGGAATGAATCATAAATCCAGCTTCTGTCTTGAAAATGTTTCTATTTAAAAGATGATGCAACAAAAAAAACCCAACACATTTGTATATACAGCTAGAAATAGTGACTTGAATATACTGTTAAAGGCTTTTCAGTTTACCCTTCATATCGAATTTGAGTTATTTCAGTTTAAAAGTAAATCATTCAAGGATCTACTAATTAATAAAAACATTGATGATATCATTGATCTAAACAAACTCTGCTTGAATGATAAGTTATTAAAAAATTGTGCAATCAAGTAGACACATTCATGGAAATCCGTGTGATATCTTTAAGGGCTATAACAGCTGACAGCTTTGAACTAAGAGTGACCAGTGATGAGAAAAATCCTACCACAGAATGTTCTAAAATGTCAACCTTTTAAAAGCATATGTAAAAATTCATTTGGGGGATAAATTGTATCACAGTTCTTCAGCTCAAAAAATTTGCAACATCACATTTCTGTTGTCCTTAAAATAAAATTGACTAGCTTCCAGCATTGATAATTTCCCCATTGAATTCAATGAGCATAGCACACAGCTTAGAAAGGCATATGATGTTCTTTACATATGCAAAGTTTTTAGTTTATTGTAACTTTCTTCTAGAATTTCTTTCCCCTACTCATTTTTTCCAGAGATTTCTGCCTAGAAGGCAGAAAGTTTAAAAGGACATAAGGAGAGAGAAGGTTGTTCAAACTCAATGCTTTGCTTTCATGCACACTGGAGGGATCTGCCAACAGTACACTTTTACTTCATCAATTCAGCAAGAAACAAGATTGCTCTTCAGTCGACATTCAGAAGCACCAGCCTGACAATGAATACAGGCATGTGACTCTGAACAAGTAGGAAGAAGGCAAAGGGAAAATCTTTTCTTAAATCCAGCCATAAGCTAAGTAGAACTTAACAAGTTCACTACAAGGTTTAACTGAAGAACGATAATTGGAAAACATACTACATCATATATGGAAATACACTATATAGACAGAATGCCACCTCTGTGGCCACTTAACAAAACCTAAACAATTAGAACATGGAATGCAGGTTGGATACCATAGAGCTGCTTTCTCTGCATCTGTCATACCACACTTAAAAAAAAAATTAAGGAAATTATTTACTTAATACTCAGTACATCAGTCATGGCAATCAAAAGTATCTATGAGGATAGAGTGCTGAACTGAAACTTAGAAGACTGTTTCAATTCCAGCTCTGATTAGCATAGAATTCCTTTCTTCATCTGTCTTGCCCAACTATTAATGGGGATAATTATGCTGACCTCCTTTTTTAAAGTACTTGAAAATCTACAGTTAAAAATTTTCTTAAACAAGTAATTCTAAATAATAGCAAACATGTCTCAAACTTCAGTTATCAACTCATCACATGAAAGCAAGGATCTGATTGTTCCTGGAATTAGTACACAAAATTCAATTTCTCCACTGACATTAGCTTTCTAGTACTTTCATCACTATTACAACAGCTGCATTTTATACTAAAATGCACTAAAAAAAACTGACTACCATTGACTGACATTTTGAAGATTTTCCAAGCTTCGAGCTACAAAAGACCCAGGATTTTTTTTTTTTTGTCACTGAAAATTTCCATGTTAATAACTTTAGTCTTATTAAACAAAGATACTTTTCATCAGCTTCAGCTTAGATGCTATTCTGAATCTCCAGCTTGAATTGTTGCAATGGCTCCAATCCAAAGAGGTTGTACCACTTCGCAAATGTATTTTGCTGTTACATCCATCAGCCTCTCTCTCCTTACAGGGGCTGGTCTATAAGGACACATTTTCATCATCACCACTTATGTCACTGGATTCTCTCCTTCTTTCCTCCATATCTATATGTTACTTTCCTCCTTTCAGCTGCACACAATGCTCTTAATCACTCAGTATGTTTGATGCACACGTTTTTCTTTCATCTTGTGCTACTAAAAATGAAAAACGGTGAGAGGATTTGTTATAAAATTAAGCTACTTACCAACTACTGCCAGATTATGCTCTGACCCACATGCAATCTGAAAAAGAAATACGTATGACTAAATGAGAACCTGCTCACCAGTAGGAAAACAGCCACAATTATGATAGGAAATTAAAAATTAACCTGAAACAAACAACTACACTTTGTAGGATGCAAAATCAAGGTTGAAGATCTGTCACTCTTAAATGAAATTTCATTTGTAACCTCACTTAGGGGCTCAGTGGTAGGGGTGTATGCTTGTTTTGTTAATGGAGGCATTTTCTTTTCCAAATGCAGTCACCACTGACATTTCAATCCTCTGAAGTAAGATTGGTCACAATTCTACAAAAACATCACACCCTTGAAAACGTTCACTGGATCCAACAAGAGGCATAAAGCAAAAGCAGATTAAACCTTTGCAAGCTCAGAGCCATAGAGACAGATGGGATTCAAAAGGGCGATGAAGATCTCCATTTCTCTTATCCACACTGCTTTTCCAGCTGATCCCTGGAGAACTGCTCAAAGTACACAGGCTCAGCGTGCTGAACCTAAAGTGATATGATCCCTTTGGCCATTTGACTAACATGGAGAAAAACTATCACAGAACTCAACTCTTCTATTAGGTCATTAATGATGGAAATCAGTTATTAACTTCTTCTCAAAGCAAACTCATAGTCAATGTATTTGTCTTTCTTTGCAGCTGCTGTGAACATGTCTGATGTTTAAACTACTTTAGCACATATCATGTAGTATCACTAAGTTCTTTTAAGTTTTTCACAGATTATGGTAACACAAGCACCAAGAGCAGCCCACTGTCCTACTGCAAGGACTTGTCTTTCCCATTGAATTCTTTCTCAATCTCATTGCTGGCATAATTGTCTTATGCAACACAGACATCACTTTACACAAAGTTACTCTGCTGAGTGTCCTCAAGTTTTTAATTTAAATAAAAGCAACCCTCTCAAAATCCTGTCTCTCGTTCACTGTCTTGCACCTACTTGCCCATTACACCTACTACTGAGCTGGAGAAAATTAATAGGCACATTGTCCTTGAAGTGTATTTACAATGGTAAAATAGAATACAGAAGTATATGCTCAATTATATTGAAAAATAGAAGTCCACACCATCAAAATTTTATATGACTTTGTGCATGCATAACTTTATAGTTTTTATGGCCAGAGAAAAAGCTATAATCACCTCAATCGCTGCAGAACATAAAACCACAGAAGTTAATAAAACAGATCTTGTAGTCAGCTTACTGTGCTTGAGTATTTACTGGAGAAGAAACACCCAAAGACACAGACTAGTTTGAGCACTTATGTTACAAATGAACACCTCAATCACTACTGCTCACAATGCACCCGCATCACAAATGTAACATGGAAACATCTGGGCAATGCCACAAAATACTGGCAAGAAAGACAAAAAAGACTCTTTAGGATAGGAGTGCTTAGCCAGCACAGTAAAGCATTTTGGAAAACAAAAAAAAAATAATTCAAGACACAGGACACGAGGCCTCATCTTCAGAAAAATCAAGACAGAGCAGCAGGAAAAGCAACATAATGCAAGAGCACTAGCAGGATTGCATCAAGTCTTTTATCCCACAATATTGCAGACAGGAGAAACTCTAAATCCTGACTGTTAAATGCATAAATCATTAGCATATCCAAGATCACTATCCTCACCACAAGACAGAACCCTACACAGGAGCTGGGCTGGTTCCTAATGCCTATTTACTAGCTAATGCTCTCACCTGTACTTCTCAAGCTTAAAAGCTGATGCCATGGAAACAAGATCCACACATGGAAACACAAGAAAAGCCTTTCTAGCAAAAGAGCAAATTCTCATCTTCACCAAGTGCTGAAAACTGGATATACTGGAGCTGCCACTAATAAAATAAATAAATTTTTTCTGAGGTGTGTATAATCCTATCTTGGCTACTTCCCTAGGAAATACACAGATTCAAAAGCATCGGCACAAAAGAACTGTTCAGGCTGGTGACTGATGCTGCCAGGACCTGCTTCAGAAACACTACATTAAAAAAGAAAAAAGAAAGCCCCACACAAACAAGGTGTTATTTAGATTGTAAAAAACATTCCCTGACGAAGAAGCATTTTCTTCCTACATCTAATAGAGGCATTTACAGAGCCTGCAAGCCAGATAAAAGAATGCTGGTGATCTCAAACAGCTTTGCACGCTATTCATGGAGCTGTTACTCAGCCCACTGTTCAGAGCCACCCAATAGCCAGCTATCATATTGTAAGGGAGTCAGTCAATCCAGTCCAGGAATTCCTGCATCATATAGACTGGGCAGTGCTGGGGAGCTGCCCCCATGGCAGCCACTCATGGCCAATGAACTGTGCAAACACACTAGCTACAGCTCTGGGGTTGACGGGGTACAAGCTACTGCAAAGCATCAGTGAGTAGTGCTGCCTCACCCCTTTTGGGTGGGTAAAAGCCACTTCAGTGGAAGTGCCACCTTTGCCAGAAATGATTGAAGTCAAACAAAATCACAAGCTGCTGAAGGCAGTGGATTCACTTTCAGTGGCCCAGAGGAAGGACATCACATGCCATGTACCAGGAGCAGCTCTATGCTCTAGAGAAGAATTTGCTAGATTGAGAGCACAAGGTTCACCACAACTCTGTCTTATCTCAGGGTTTCACCAACTGACAACACAGACTGACTTTGGAGGAACCCCCAAATAAAAAAAAACCCTCAGGGGACTCTAAAGTTAGCTTTCTGGAACACCTTATTCACCATCTATGCTGCTTATTACAAGCTACACCATCCACCCACAAGATTTCTGCTGGCCAGCACACCTATGACTCCAGAGCTCAGGAGGGACCACACCATACCACAGAGGTAAAGCCAGGTTACCACTGCTTAATGAACAGCACTGCCTTGCAGGTATTTCACAACATCTTTTTTACAATAAGCTTTAGAATGTGACACCCTCTTTTCCCCCCAGTGACTCCCCACAGTAGGCAACAATCAGCTAAGAATGATTGATTTGCTGATACAAAGACAGACCAGCCAGACAACAGCATTGCTGAACAGATGTTTTATGCTTACATTAGATGTAACAAGCTCTGCAGCCAGCGCAGGTCCTTGGGAAAAGCCTGGTATTTACTGCAGCAACCATAATTTTCTGGCTACTTCTCTCTGGTCCCCACCCCCAAAGTGCTGCAGAGAAATTAAATTCCAACAGACATCTGCATGGTTCCAGTGGATAAGTACATTCAAGGATACTTATAAACATATAATAATGCTTTCTAATTGGGCAATAATTTTACATTATGTTTTCACTAATCTTAAAGACAAATCAGAGAGATTGCTGCTGAGTGAAGCATTCTGTGAGCTTCAGAAACATGACCCTCTACACAGAAACAATTCATACTAAAGTTCTCAGTTTGGAGGGAAATCTCAGAAGAGTTGTGAAGAATACTGTGATCTCTATATAAACAATCTCAAAGCATTTGATAAATGCCTATAAGGCTAGTAAAAAATGCTTAGGGACCATTTTACTCAGAACTTATTTACCTTATTATCTGTGCTCTTTCAACCACACATAAATTTTTTCCTTCTTCGCTTAAATTGTGTGCTTTCAAGCTGTTTTCTACCTAGCAATGGTTGTGGTTCAGATCCATCCATCCATCCATCCAGATTTAACACACATGGTACAAGCAGCCAAGGGACCAGCATTTTATTAATCATGAATAGTATGATAAATAGTACAATCACAGACATAAGCTGCATGGATGGTGAGGAAAGACCTTAGCACAGCAACCACGAACTCTGGGCAAAACACCAACATCTTTCTGCAGCCTGCCTATATGCTTATGGTCCAGTCCAAAAAAAAATTAATTGACTGAATGTAAAATCAGTGGGTTATTCAAGATAGGGAAAATATTTAACTTAAGAGTAAAAAAATTTCCTATCTTAAAAACACTATATGAAGTAATAAAATAATAACATTTAGTAAATATTATATAACTGTTCCCATATATATGTGTGTGTGTGTATAAATATATAAAAAAAAATACATGTACTCATATTAGGAAGAGAAGGTTATCTACTAAAGAAGATGTTTATCAGGGAAGAAGGTTCAGAAGACATATGAAGGTAAATACAGAGCACGTCCCTCTTCTATCTGGGATAGAGATCTTTCTGAAGAAGAGCTATCCCTCGTTTTGCTTCCCCCACAGTCCTATGAGGTAAGACAGTATTGCTCTCACCTTTGGACACAGCAAGCAAACACACATAGGATAAAACTCATGTGGATATTTAGACATAGTCTCCTATTGATTTCAAACGGCAATTAAGAGACAAAAATACCTTTTGTCAGCCATCCCCTAAGGGACTTTGGAACACTATAACAAAACAAGTCTGACAAAATGTATAAAAATCCAAGTTTCAAGTTAGTACCTTGACCACAAGGCTATTCTTTCTTTTCTTTCTGTACTCCCAGGGTTCCAACTGAGGATCTGTTGTGCAACCCAACAGGAAAGAGATGGGAGTCAGAACTGCAGGCAAAGTCAGTCCCACGCTGCAGCAGAGGGGAAGGGACAGTATAGAGAGGGGGTGCAAGGAAGAGGCACAGGGAGCTGCACTCACAACAGGGATTGCAGAAGCAAAAATCGCAAGCATCCAAACATCAGAGTGCTTAGCTAGAACAACAAAAGGACCTCAGTGCCATTTATTTTTGTTTCATTGCCCTGTGAGTGCACAGTAATTCCCTTCAGTTGCAATTATTTCCCAAAACATGAAAGGCTACAGAGGCTTCCATCACCTCGTAGAGATGAGAGCACAATGTACAAAAACGATTTTTAAGGATGAATGAAGATAGGACATTTAAGTTGTATCCAGATTCTAGTCACTACCATTTCTAACTTTCTAATTGCACCAAAGCATAGGGGGCAAGGAAAGGGAAGGAAACTTGCAAAAGAGTGAACACGTAAGTACTTTTATCCAGGACTTTAGCCACAGTATCTCAAATGTTTTGACAAATATCACTGTAAGGAAATTGTCAGGGCCAGAAGATGGCAAATTTTATTCA